AAAAAAAAAAAAAAAAAGCGGCGCGGTGATATTCACCAAAGAAGAAAAGCCACACACACACACAAAAAGAACCAACCATTCTGACATCATATGATCCAGGTTCATGCATCTAAGTAGTTGTGTGAGTGTGCCCTCAGTGAGGGCATCATAATGGCGCGGTGAGGTCCACCAAAGAGCTTACCAAAACAAAATAAAAAACAAAAAAAAACAAAAAAATAACAAACTACACTTACTACAGGAAAGAGGGTACCAGTTGATGTAGCTCAGTGGTTAGAGCACTGGTTGGAAATGCGCATTGTGGTATGAGGTTGCGGGTTCAAAACTCCGCAGCATGGACACCGGCAGGGCGTTAGAATGGCGCACGACTGGACACACACCCCTTGGGATGACGCGGGTAAGTTATTACAGACACTGCCTGCGCACCACCCGAGGGGTAGTCCATGGCTGTTGTATGTGGGGACTGGGCGATGGCGGGTATCCTGATGTCCTTGATCTACGGGGTTGTCATGAGACTGCTGGGTGGCTTGCATAGTCCGGTTTACTCGAGCCCAGCAGAGCACAGCTACAGACTATTTCACAGTGTAGGTCAATAGGTTAGGTCACTTGCACAATTCACATAAGGTCCTGTGTTCTATACCAGACTGTATCTTAGGGCTAGTTATCCTCTTAGCACGTGGTCAAAGGATTGAGGCTGTCATAGCAGTTCCTTAGTACAGGATGTCAGGAGTGTCAGGAGATAGTGCACTTTACCGCAGGGCCGGAACGGGCTCCAGGGACATACGAGGGAGCAGAGGATTGTCTGCTCTCAGATTACCATACAGCACAGGGCTAAGAGATTATCCAGGGCCAATACATGCAGTCCATGATTCACAATTGAGGGTGGGGTATCCTCCTAGTATGTACCTTAGAGTTGAGGCTGGCATAGCAGTCCTTAGTACGGACGTCGGGGGTGCACTTGTCAGGAGATACTGCACCTTACCGCGGGGCCGGAACGGGCTCCAGGGATATACGAGGGACCGGAGGGTCCCCATCTCTCTACCATCAACATCATAGTACACTGTATCATAAGGATAAAGAAAGAAACTCAGTCCATAACTTATGACCTAGGGTTGGCTATCCTCCTAGTATGTAGCATAGGGTTGAGGCTGGCATAGCAGTTCCTTAGTATGGGATCTCGGGAGTCATGGCCGAAACGGGCTCCAGGGACATACGAGGGAACGGAGGATACCCAGCTCTCTATCATCACCACACAACTAAGCTAGGTGGGAGTCACTGTGCACCCTCATGAAGACCTGTAGTAGCATGTTCAAACCTAGCTCCCGAAGTTCCCGTGCAATCAGGCTTGCACGGCGTCTGCTTCAACCAGGGCTGAGCAGGGGGTAGGCATCTCTGCTTAGCCCCGGTACCTGCAACCACTGTCTGGTCAGGTCACCCAGCCAAGATGGCGACCGGTGATGGTCCTGGGTGGTTAACACTAGGGTAGGACAGGGGGGGTGGGGGTGCACCAGGGCAAAAAGATAAGAGGAAGGGTGGGTGGGGTCTTCAGAGGGGTTCATCTGCACAACCGAGTGGCCAAGTACTGTGGGTGGCTGCCATCCGTCTAGTATCCCACCTCTACAACAACCTGGGCTTAAAAAAGAAGAAGAAGAAGAAGAAGAAGAAGAAGAAGAAGAAGATGAAAGAGGGTAAATACATTGTCACGAGTATTGGTGTGAGCATGCCTCGAATCCGAAACTGTCAGCGTCCCGTGGATAGTGGTGGTTTACAACCGGAAAAAAAAAACGCGTTCCCAAAAAGAAAACATATTATAATAACATTTTGGGCACCATGCAGGCTCCGAAACGAATGGAGGAGGAGGACTCGTGTATGTTACGTTGCTGTCCTGGGGCCAAGTCCCACTAGCATCGTTGCCTTTGGCGATGTGCGGTTGAGGAAACTCAACGCCATTTCTGCACATCTCCACAAACACGTCCAGATTCAGGAGGCGTCAAGGAAACTCAACACTCGAGGGACCTGACCCCTGGTCGGTCTCGTTGCATACGTTTAACAAATGGAAGGAGAAGAAAGAGGTAGGTAGGTTGGGGTGGGTCCTGTGAGCATCCGGAAAAAAATAAAATCAATTCCTTGATGAATTTGCACTAGCCCATTTCATGATCCCACCTGGGTCTGACTCTTTAATTGCTGGACGGACTGGACAGCCCATTGTGCAGCGGAAGTTATCTGAAAATATGCAGCCGCAGGCTGGACGTTCGTGCCGTCCTTCGCAGGTCCACCCAGTTGGGCATGGTTCGAACGGGGTGGAGGACTACAACCACGACAAGCCGGGCCGGCTTTTCAGGGACATAGTGGCTGCTACAGTGACTTCCTAAACCTTGCTTGGGCGAAGAGGTTCTCTCCCCTCCCTTAGCAACCTGCACAGTCAATCCTCTGGTTGCCAGAGTAATCAATGCTGGCAGTGTTCACAGCTATCTCCTCTTGATTCAGCCTGTTCTCATCTTATTTTCAAGCTGCAATGGGACGCTGGACCCGTTTTCCAGCAGTTGATGCTCCCCACCAATAGATGGAGCCCCTTCCCGGGTGCTAGTGGTGTCTGCTCTTATCAGCACCTCTGGCATTGCAGGGGGGTGTTTTGTTTATTATATAAAAAAAAAGGTGCAATTCGAACCACCAGTACCTACCGCATTGTTGTTCGCACCCCCCGGCCTCAAATGAATTTGGACTGAAGGGGCAGGCTGATTCGGCTTCCGCGTTACCGGCCGCCCCAACCGGTACGTAGCGGGGGTTCGAGCCTAGAGGCGGCACAAAGTGTTGATTCGATCCCAAGTGAAGCGCTTGGGCTTCTAGTCGCCTGAAGCTTCACAATGTATCATCATCCCATCTTATATGCTTGGGATGTATGGGGTGAATGGGGTGCAGCCGTTGAGGCTTTACTTCACGGGGAGTGGGGGCAGATTTTTGGGGGATGCCCTATTCTGGGGCTGGGAGAGATGTATGGGCTGACATCATATCCCAGCGGAGGCAGATAGGGGTGCGGGGTTAGCTGAGGCATACTTTGGGTGGAACTGGATGCCTTAGTGGAAGTACGGGGAGGAAGCAGGTATGTCCCAACTTGGAGCCGACAAGGAGAGCTTGTGATCAAGGCAGTCCTTTTCGGTAGAGGCAGCGGAGGGACAGGGGGAGATGGAGGGGAGGGGGAAAAAATAATTCATAGCAACATCCAGAATTCTGATTCTCCTCTCAAGTGTAT